AGTTAAAAAAGGTATCTTTAAGTATTATGCTCAGTTCCACTGGGGCTGATATGGCAGCTTCTGGTGGAGTAGCAATCAAGACTGGGCCCACCCAGTGAGGGCAGCTTTATACTGATGGATAGGAGTGGACAAGCGGCTCTCCTCAGTGGGTAGCAGGTGCTTTTCAGGACTAATGATGTGGTGGTGAGAGTGGCAGGAGGAGACAAATAGATTGGTGGTTCTTCCCAAATCTAAGCACGTAAAGGCCTGAGGAAGCACTAACTGAAGGGTTAAAAAGTTAAATTTCAAAACAAAAGAAAACAACACTGAACTATGTGTGGGGGAGAGGGGGTGGGGGGACATCCAGATAGCAACAGTAGCAAAACTGCCTCTTTTTTTTTCTTCTGGCTTAATAGTTTCCTTTTTCCTGATCAAAGAATTCTCTCCATACATTGAGAGGAGTGCCTGGCCTGATTATGCTTTAGCTAAGTCAACTTTGATATACTCACACTAAGGGAGGTATAACAGATACTCTGAATATTTCTCTTTGCCTTTGGATAACACTTGTTCATTTGATCTTTTCTAATCAGCTACCTGCCACAAAATATATTTATAGTAAATCACAAAAAAAAAAAATTTAGTTCTAAATTCCACTACTTGTATGGTGAGGGAGCAACATACACACACACACACACACACACACACACACACCACAATCTTAACAGGCTGATCTGGGATTTACTTTACTAAACCTTATTTATAATATGTATAATTCACAGACTAGTTGTGAATTCCTTGATTATAGTTTAATTTCTGTGTTTCAAGTACTATATCTCTGTAGATATCTATGCAATAAATTGCTAGGACAAAGGGGAGAAGAATGGATGATTACCCATAGTATTTGATTTTAAGGATAAGCAAAAATTTTGTGCCATAATTATCTACTTTTCTTATACCATAAGCTTCACTTTTAATGACTGATATCGTTTGACTAAGAATTGTTCTCTTTTGATAACTTGTCTAGTAAATGAAGATTGTTCCCTATAACCTATTGTCATCATTTTTTTCAGATCATTATTTTATAGACTGGGAAGAATAAAACATTCTGTTTGACATGATGCCTAATGGAGGTGAATGTGATGATGAAAGAATAAACTCAACAATATGCCAGGAATGGGGCTTGGCCTTTGGGACACAATGATGAATGCAAAATTGTCCCTTATTTTAATGTTCCTAATCTATGGCAGATGCTGCACTGGCAGGCCCTCTGGGGACAGTTCTTATAAATACACAGGATATCAGAGCTCAGGAGATGAGAAGCTCTGGAGACTACTGGTCTTTATAGTTCTAGACACAGAATATTAGAACTAGAAATAAAAGTCCTAGCTTCTTGTTAGCTATGGTTATTTAGACACTTGAGGAAGAAAGTATAATTAATCCATCTTCTAATTTGAGGAGGTTAGAAGAGAGAAGCGATATAATCTTCAGAAGGAAGAAGGTGAGGCTTCAAGATTCCAATGTTATTGTAAGGTTATTAAAACATATTCTAAAAATCCTCTCCTGATTGTCTACATGAACTCTAGACTTTCTGCATGTTTGCAGCTCAGTGAGTCCCAAGAGTAGAGGGAAGAGGCCGTGGGCATCCACCTCACACTCAGTTATGCAATAGCCACTCACTGTTCCTAGGGACTTTTGTTTCTTATCTGAATTGATCTGTGAAATCACCAGCTTTAAAAATATATTTCCAATATATTTATGAAACCTTAAGTCTGTTCACACTTGTTGGCTCATTTAATTTGTACAACAATCTATTGAAGTATTTATTAATTTTTCCAGATTACATCATGAAGCTTGGCAGAGCCTATGATGACTCAAATATTGCACTGTGAGTTTTAGAATTGAGGTTGAAACTAAATATTATGACTCATGGTTCATTGCTTTCTTTGCCACTTTGTAACCATGGTACAACTGGGATACCAGATTTAGGAAAATATATATTCTAGGCTTATGCTTTCTAATAGGAAAGCTACTAGTTATCAGTGGCTATTGAGCATTAAAATGTGGCTTGTTCAAATTGAGCTCTAAGTGCAAAATACTCTGTAGATTTGAGAATTTTTTCCCATACCCACCCTCAAAAAATGATAAAAATCCCATAAAAATTTTTCATATAGATTATGCACTGGAGTGATAGTAGTTTGTATATACTAAGTTAAGCAAAAATTCTGTTAAAATTGACTTCATCTGTTTGTTTTTACTTTTAAAACAATGGGCTCCTAGGACATTTTAAATATCCCATGACTGCATTAAGTTTCTGTTGGGCAATATTAATTTAGACTCCACATTCATAAAACAATATCAATAGTCACAGTTTTAATAATACTATGGAATGCACTCAAATGTTTAAAATACCTTAATATGCTTTTAAATTCCTAAAAATATTTAAGATGTGGTCTGGGTCAATGTAGTAGACTATTTTTGGAGGGTGGGCAGATATACAGTCTAATCAAACTTTATCACTAGGCTGGCCAAGTGGTTAAAATAAGTGGATACTAGTTATCATTGCTCATTTTTATGTGAATTAAGACATGATTTGTATAACATTTCCTCCTATACACAAAAAACATAATATAATTTGTTGTAGTAAGCTATTTGACCTGAGCATTAGTTACACAGCCATGGAATCTCTGAGTTCACATAGAAGTAACAACATGCTGAAATGTAAAACTTCATATTCTTCAGCCAAGAAGGCTTTTCAAGGATGGGCTTGGCATGATCAGGTAATGCTTTCTGTCACCGAGAGGAAGCAAGAAGATTTCAACTTTAAGAGAAAATAATCTAAAATAGCATCTCTCGAACTGTTATATGCACACAGATCATGGAAGGATCTTGTTAAAATGTGGGTTCTAATGTGGTAGCTGTGAGGTAGGACCTTAGATGCTGTAATCCTAACAAGTTCTTAAGTGCTGATGTTGTTGATCCATGATCCACACTGAGTAGCCTTAAGGACCGGAAGCACAGAAATGCTTTGGGAAGTTGGAAACATAGGGAAGAGGAATCCCAACTAGCTTGAATAGGAGCAGAAGTGTGCATGGCACTGGAATTAAATAAGAACATGGGCAGGAGGAAAGACATTGTGCTTTAATAGAAATCCCAGAAGGATTAGGGAAATGTGGGACAAATAGAAATAATATTGAGATTGGTCACTGCGTTTGTGACATTCAGCACAGATTAAGGACTCATGAGATTAAAGACAAAGAACTGAGCATAGGATCTTCTTGAACTTTGGATATTTCTCTCTATGTTGTCTCTGTGATTACATATGCACATACAGACCGGCAAGGGATGATGGGAAAGGAAGACCCCAGGGTATTTCAGTAACAGGCAAAGGCAAAAGGATACACTCTTTTCCTCAGGATTCCCCATCTTCATCCCTTAGGACAAGAGAAGATCAGACACACAGGACATGTGTTTTGTAGAATTTGGAAATCTGCTCAGAGAACAGCTGTTCGGTGTCAAGAAGTTTCTTTGTTTTAAACTGAGAGAGGGATCTAGGAAATAAGAAAGAATTTCCTGCATCCTTGGAATTCAAGGGGTCAAAGGAAGTGTTCCTTGTCCTAATAAGGCAGGCAGGCAGTAATTCATTAGAAGCAAGAAGATAAGAACAGTTTCTTTTTTTTCAAAAAAAAATTTTTTTGGGGGGTGCTGAGGATTGAACTCTGAAGGACTTGACCACTGAGCCACACCCTCAGCCCTTTTATTTTTTATTTTGAGATAGGGTCTTGCTAAGTTGCTAAGGGCTACACTAAATTGTTGAGGCTGGCCTCAAACTTGTGATCCTCCTGCTTTAGCTTCCTGAGTCACTAGGATTATAGGCATGCCCCTCATGTCCCAGTAACAACATCTTCTTGAAGAGCCAGGGAAAATGGAAAATCCTAGACTGGGCAAGTTAAAAAACTTCTGGCTCAGATATATGAGAAAGGCTCATAACCTTTGGGCAAACATAAGACTGCTCTGTGAGTAGCCCATAACTTAAAAAAAAAAAAAAAGCGGTCAGATTTTTCAGAGACAAGGCCATACTTGAACTCAGAGCAGGCAACTCCAAGATGGTGCCATCTGTGCCCTTCCTGAAAACAGGACAAGGTAGAGACAGGAAGTGCTATGTGGAAGCCTCCAGGTGGGCTCTGAGCATTATGTTGTCTTGGGTGGCCTTGGTGAGAAAGGGAGGCTTAGCCCAGATGGCGACTGGAGGTTCAAAAGGCAGAAACAGTTTTGGTAGGTCAGTCTTCTACCATCATCCATCTTTACTGAAATCTAAGAGGAGTAAACTTCCTGCCTGGATATCCATTTACAATTAGATTACAAATAGAACACACAAATGAAAACATGGCTTCCTACAACATGCCAAGTCACAGTAGTGTTGTGATATGTTTTAAAAAGAAGGGTATAGATGCTCTGTCATTAAATAAGTTTGGGAGATATATGTCATATAGTAATCCTTCAGGAGGCCTGAGCCATCCTTCACTTACAAAATCCTGTTCAACTCTGTATAATTCAGAATATTTGAATTTATGATTCATTTCATATAGTGCTCATTAACATCTTCCTCGAATTAATATTCTGCTAACACTGGAGGCCTTGGTATAGAAAATCATAATTGATCTTAGCAATAGATAAGTTCCATATAGAAATCTTGGAAGTAGGTTCTGTTCTTGTCAAATGTGTCATTGACAAAAATATGTTCGTCCCGTCCTTTATGTACCTCTTTTGCTGATTTGCTTTAGAAAATGTACCCCACAATCTTTAGTGTCATTCTTGTCTCTAACCCTGTGGTGAAAATTTTTGCCCTTTGCTACAAGTACTCGAGACTCGGGAATGTGTATTGATGGTTCATAAAATCTGTGGTAGGTAGATGCTTTCTGATTTCATTTTAACTAACACAAAGTCAGTGTTTTCACAGCTAGAAATACCTTAGCTGCAGGGAACTGGGAAAAAGCTGGGATTCTGCCTGTATAATTTGATTTTTGCCCTCTCTTCTCCACAGATTCCTCCAAGGAGAATGGGTATAAGAAATCATTCCGTGGTGACTGAGTTTCTTCTTTTAGGATTGACTGAACAACCAGAGCTTCAGCTGCCCCTTTTCTGCCTCTTTTTAGGGATTTACATAGTAATCACGATAGGAAATCTTGGCATGATCATGATAATTAGGTTGAATTCTCAACTTCACACTCCCATGTACTATTTTCTCAGTCGTTTGTCTTTTTTAGATTTCTGCTATTCTTCTGTCATTATCCCCAAAATGCTGGCAGGATTTTTACACAGGGATAAAGCCATCTCCTATTCTAGGTGCATGACTCAACTGTTTTTTTTCTGCATTTTTGTCATTTCTGAGTGCTACATGTTGGCAGCCATGGCCTATGATCGCTATGTGGCCATCTGCGACCCGCTACTCTATAATGTCATCATGTCCCCTCGGGTCTGTTCTCTGCTTGTGGCTGCTGTCTTCTCAGTAGGCTTCACTGATGCTGTGATTCATGGAGGTTGTATATTAAGGTTGTCTTTCTGTGGATCAAACATTATTAGACATTATTTCTGTGACATTGTTCCTCTTATTAAACTCTCCTGTTCCAGCACTTATATTGATGAGCTTTTAATTTTTATCATTGGTGGATTTAACATGGTAGCCACAAGTGTGACAATCGTCATTTCATATGCTTTTATTCTTACCAGCATCCTCGGCATCCACTCTAAAGAGGGCAGGTCCAAAGCCTTTAGCACCTGCAGCTCTCACCTGACTGCCGTTCTTATATTTTATGGGTCTCTCATGTCTATGTATCTCAAACCTGCTTCCAGCAGTTCATTCATCCAGGAGAAAGTGTCCTCAGTATTTTACACCACAGTGATTCCCATGTTGAATCCCCTGATATATAGTCTGAGGAACAAGGAAGTGAAAGCTGCACTGATGAAACTTTTAAGAAAGAAAATATCTTCATAATGAATATGCTCTTTATTAAGATATATGTGTGTGTTCGTAAGCATGTTTTTTCCCCAAATGTTACACTTTTAATTGTAGACACAGCTCCTATTTTGAGTTTTACAAAAAAGCATGCTTTAAAACATGAATCCAAACAGTGTTCAATATAATGTGGTATAAGAACAACATTTAACATAATTCAACTGCTTTAATCTAAATATGCTTACTGTGTAGGTACATCCTTCAATATAACTAACGTGAGAAAAGCTGAAAATTGTTTAACAGTTATAGTTTACTCAACTCTGCCGTTACATCTTGAATGACTGCTGTGTTAAAAAATACTGAAACTTGTCTTTCAAATAATCCTGATTCCCACTTATAGAGTAAGCATAAATCACAAGCTTGGATTGCAAAAATTGGTAAACTGAAGTTTTGTTTTTCTTTAAAAACAGTTGACCAAGAGTCAGTGGGACCAGAATCGATTATGTTCCCTGTCCACCACTCATACTGGACATGGTAGAAATCCTTCCCATGTCATTCATACTCATAGATTTATGGCTTCCACTGCTGTAGTAGCTGCTATTTATTGCTTGTTGGCTACCTATGCAATGTTTGATTGAAATCACTGGGGTTTCCCTGTAAAACTGTGGATATGGTTATATCCATTCATGCAGCTCTGGCCGCCATAACCCCCTCCATACCCACCATTCAGTTGCTGGCTAGCTGGACCACCAAAACTGGACCGGTTTGACAAGCCAATTCATCCCATCATTTGACTACCATAAGCACCACTGCCTGTTCCCACTATAGAATTCAAGAAGAGTTCTACATACCTGTGTTGTTGCATATTTGCTTTGTCTTTTGATATAGCTGACACAGCATCTTCATAAGTAGCAAACTCGACATCTGCTTACTCTGCCATCAGGACCAATCTCAATGTGTACTATCATGGGGTTGAGTGGTGAAAAAAATTATAAATGTAATCTGAGTTGAGATTATCTATATATTCAGATTGCTAAATATGTGTACATGTAAGATGAATAAGATGAAAAAAAGAAAGTATGAAAGTGAGAAGTAGCATATATTTTAAATATAAAGTTTAACACCTTTGTTGGAATTGAACATAATTTGATTCCTTAGTTTTCTGAATCCAGTCAAAAAGGGAAAAAAATCATGGTGTACTATATAATCCTATGAGGAGATCAACCACACCAAAGTGCAAAAAGACATTTTTTCTTATAGAAGTTTGTATGGAAAATACTGAACACTGTGATGGAAATCATCACAAACATTTTATAATAAATGTGGAAGAATTTTTGTTGTTCATTTGTTTTAAAGGGCTATTAAAAATCAGTGTTGCTATATGGAAGTATGATCTCTTTGAGCATATTTGGCATCTGTTGATCCAGAGACACAACTTAGCATATGTAGATGAGAAAATGATATTTATAGTCTCATAAAAATAATGTGTTTTTTTCTTCTTGACGAGTATGTACTGTATTTCACTGCATTCTGTTCATTCGAGTTTCTGTTGTCTCTACGTGCTGTAAACTACATGTCTTTGATTCCTCTGTATGTTATATTTTGACTTAAGCAAAATGAAAAAGTTTATGGACTTCAAGAATGAACTTGTCAACCTAAAAATAAGTTGAGGTATGCTGATTATAAGAAGAAAAATTTCATGTGAGTCAAAATGAGAATGGGCACCAAGAAAAACATTTTAAATTGCCCAGAATAAATGCTCTGAAATGATATACAAGTAGTTTTACAGATTAAACAAAACAAAACAACAACAAAAAAAAGGAAAGAAAGAAAAGAAAAAGTGTAGCAAACCAGTTACTAAATTGCATTGGTTGAAAATAACATAGGTCATTAATTGGTGATCACTCATTATATATTCCAGAGAGGAATCATCCTAAGTAGGAATGAGATATTTTCCAAATTATTTATTACTCTAATGGCATCAGTATGTCTACTAATGTGACACCATTATAGGTTAAGATTAACCAGATAATGAGGATTTGAAATCAAAAGGGCATGACTTCTGTCCTATAACCCATGTCTGCCATACCCAATAAGAGTCTGTAGCTTCCCTTTTTAAAAATTTATGTCTTAAAACTTTTAAATGATCAAAAAATATAATACAATGTATGAGCAATGTGATGTGTTTATTACAGTAATTTATATGTTCAGATTAAACTTATGAATACAATGTGCCAGACACTGAGTGTTGGAATATTAGGGTGACTGTGCTAGAAAAAGATTTCTCCTCACTTTTGGGGGATATGGGAAGATTGATAGATAAAAAAAGAACTAATTAAATGAGCAAACATGATAAATGTAAACATAGATAACTGCTTTGGAAAGAATGAGCTATATAATTTTCAATGAGCCAAAGACTATAATCAATAGAGTTCTTTGAAGAAGGGACATTTGAGATGAACTCCAAGTGAAAAAAAGTGCAGTTGTGCAAAAACATAAAGCCAGCTGAAAGCAAAAGGCAAAGGTTGGAACAAACTTGTCCACGTTGAAGAAAGAGAAGGCAGTTTGGCTGAGGCTTAGTGAAGGGGAAATTAACATGAGCAGCTGGTATATACCTGACAAGCCATTGGTATATTTCAACAGAGTGATCTAATCTGGTTTAATTGGATAATTTTTGGTAATAATTGATTAGAAAGTAGATAGGTCTGTATGTGTGTGTATGTGTGAGGGGCAGATTGAGCAGGGAAAACGTGCTATTGGCCAGAGCAGAATTAGAACAGTTTTGAGGCCATTGAAATGATCTTGGTGAGAAATGATGTGATTTAACTTACAATGATAGATGAAAAACATGGATGGCATAAAGGTACATTTCCAACCTTGAATCAAGATTTGCTGTTAAATGGAAAGTGGATGCTTGAGAATGACAAATTTTAATAAAATTTTAAAAAAATTTGGAAAAAAGGAATATAGAAATAAAAATAAAGTCCAATAAAAAACAGACATAGACCATAACAGCATAAAAACATTTGGATGTTGTATCTGTCTGAATTTCCAAGTATCTAAAATAAATATAAACATGGCAGTATAGCTAGCTGCATAATTATAATTATTATAGAGAAGGCACTGTTCCAATTACTCATAGTAAGCTAAATTTTCTTATAAGTTGTAATAATTGCTTCTTACTTTTTTCCCAGCCCCAAAGAAATAAAAAGTTTCAAAAAGATTTTTTTTTAATTTAAGGAAAAAAAAACCACTAGTAGGTAGATCATTTAAAAGAAGGAGAAAAGCTATGTTTTCATATATAGAGGATTTCTTCCTCTTTGGGTCGTCTCTCAGGAAATGCCTCTCTCATGTTACTGAGTAATTAAGATAAGTCTGAGATTTTTTTCCTATTGAAAAGGAGATTTTCCTCACCTTTGCTGAGAAAGTCAATGAAGAAAAGAGAGAAGAGGCAAGAACCAGGCTGATCCAGGGATACTATAAGGAAGGTTCCTGCATTTAATTTTTCATGCATATTCATGTCAGACATCACTTCTCTGTTATAGTACTTCAGAAAATGCAGATATAGCTTCAAATTTCTTTTAAGCTCAGTGCTCTAGGCTGCTATGATCATTGGAGTGATGAAGACAGGTATGAGAAAACCTGATTACCTTGCAGATTTTACTAATTTTGTATTCATCTGATACATAGAGTAGTAAAGTTCCCCAGGTTGAGAGGTGACAGTGATTTGGGGGACATAGAGACACTGTGATTTAGCTAGGGCTAAAGAACATTTGTTTCTTAAATGTTCTCTTTGCATATACCAGTTTAAATATTTGGAACATTGAGAGACAAATGCTGAGGAAAAAAGTATTAGGATCACAACCTACTCTGTTGCCTTTTCAAAAGAACAATTAATACTGTTTTTAAGTAAATTTAATATATGTATATTAAAATTTACATTCTCCAAAGAATATATTTTTGTTTCTGTTCATGAGGTCAAAGAACTGATTGTATAAATTTCTGAAGAAAAAATAAACAAATACACAATAACAGAAATGTTGCTACCTAAACCACAATAAAATCTGAGATTACTATGTGCAATTTACACATGCCAACCTTATAGCTTAGATGTAAAATTTTAAAACTAGACAAACTCCTCTGAATTGCTAGTGGATAAAAAAAGAGTCTGAAACTCTAATATAGCTGAGAAATTGCCACACTGGCCATAATAGAATAATGGAAATTACAGTTAAGTTCCCATCACAAACAACTAGAAAAACAGAAAATGTATTCTACACACTTTTTTGAAACATTGGGTAATAAGTATTCCAGAAGTTTATTTCTCCAATATAAGAGAAACAAATGAGGTGAGGCTAATAAACATCTTCATGGGGCTATATAAATCTTCATGGGGCTTGGCTTAGCATCACTGAATAGGGTAAAACTCTATAAAGTGAGGCAAATAGTAATTGCTGGGAAGCTATAAGGTGAACTCTTCTTAGTGCATGGAGATCTGCTATATATTGCCAAACCATTCAGCCACAGAACACTGAACTTTTTGAACAATTAGGAGGAAAAAAAAAAAAGAGGGTTGGGACAATAGTAAAGCTACATTTTTCCTGGAGTAAGAGTTATCCCAGACCTGTCTTTTAAAAAAAGGGACTTAATATCTCAAATGGCTCAAGATGATCAAATTACTTAAAGTGGCAGAACAAACAAATTTGACATTCATTAAATAAAACACAATCCAAATATGAAACAATGTTTGCATAGAATAGGAAATTTTTACATTCGAGGAGTAGCACATCATATTACATATGCAAGAGAAAAAACACTTACTCCACAAAAAAACACACATGATGGAATTATATAAAAATAACTTTAAAAACAGCTCTTTTTAAAGGATGTAAGGATTATAGGCACACAGCTATAGTCCTAGCAGCATGGAATGTGGAGGCTGAGGCAGATAATTGCAAATTTAAGGTCAGCCTCTGCAATTTAGTAAGACCCTAAGCAACTTGAAATCCTGTATAAAAGTAAAAAAATAAAAGGTGTGGGGATATAGTTCAGAATTAAAATGCCTCTGGGTTCAATCT